CTACTACAACACTTTGGTAAATAAAAGTTCAAATTTTTAGAAGCTGAATACTAAAAAAAATTTTGAACATAGCTTCAGAACTTGCACAGTTTTCCCAACCCAAAAAAAAAACAGCAATACATTATAATGATTACTCAATATATATGATTACTAAATATATATTTAATACTAAGGCTGAAATTTTTTTTTTAACAGGTAAAATCTCACGAACAGAGGCTGAAATTTTTTTTTTCTTTTTTTTCTTGGGAAAATGCAGCTCAAACTTCCACGTTTAAAAAAGTCCATAAACAAAGCTATGACAATCGATTTTTACCACAAAATACAACGACAACATAACATAGATTTATAGGAGTTATAACTCAAACATCCAGCGGCTAATATGACAAAAATATAGGTTAGAACGAAAATTTATACAACGATAAAAACGACGACAGTAAAAAGATATAACGAGGCTCGAAATTTACGAGATTAATCACAACGAAAAGGAGTTTGATTTTTCACAAAACGAGAGGTACTACGAGAGTTCCGATCCACGTTTAATACATGAAACAACAACATAAGCAACACATGAACAAACGAAAGGGAAAAACAAGTCTTGGTACCGTTCTCGGGAAAGGTACGCTAAATGAGCAAGGAAAGGGGATGAACGGGACTGAATCGGATCGTATGTGTGCTCCGACGGGACTCGATGGGACTCGATGAATACATTTGACACTCCGACGGAACTCAACGGGACTCGACGACTGAGAACGGTAGTCCGACGATTGCGATGGTGATGATGACGTGGGATGCCTGAGAGAACTTTTCCCTCCTCTGAGATGGTGTTGCTCCCGAGATGCTGATGACTGAGGTGACGATGATGGCGGCCTGATGATCGTACGATGATGGTGATGGTCGTGGGTGAAGATGACGGGTGATGGTGAGGGAAAAACGAAAGCCCTCTTCTATTCTGTTGCTAGTGGAACGAGAGCAGAAAAAAAAATAAAAGTTGCGGGAAGGGGATTGTGTGCTGAGGTATTAATCCCACTACTTAAAGCTTTAGGATTAGGGTTAATGCATTACTTAATCCTCAAGACACCCATATCATATACTCTCGCACGGAAATAATAAAAAGAAACCGGGTGCATGCGGGTCCAAGAATTCAGGCCGGTTCTCCTTCAGTTCGATAATTAATAATACTCGGGCTCGAA